CTATGATTCTATGAAATCCCCATGCAGGAGAACACCTGAAAAAATCAACTGCTCAATCAAGGACATGCACTTGAAAAAATAACAAAGATCCCTTTTTAAGTGACTTCTGATTTACATATCGAAAAGACCTCTAAGAACTGGAGTTCAAAGTTAGTTCTGAGGTACAGAGGCAAATTTTATTTGGCACAAATACTTTTGTGTTTGTTTAAATCACAGTTGTACTTGTTGCTTTTGGCAGATGCTGTCTTGTCAGTTGGTTCCATTGCAGTTTCCTCACCAAGTTGTCTTGAAGGGTCTGAATCTGAATCCTTTTAGACTCCTCCATGTACACTCCTATTAGAAAGCCTTTAGTCAGTCTCTCAAATCAGGAAGATGGCAAAACAAGGCAATTTCTGTGTGCATTTGGGTTGTGTGAATATGGTGGTTACAGACATAATTACTTGTGGGTTAGCTACATCATAAATTTTGCAAAGAACAGATTTTTCTCATATAAAAATGAGAACCTGATATTAGCGGAATGATATATTTCTTTAGACCAACATCAGCATTTTGTTAACTTCAGCTAACACACATCCTTTGTTGGTCATTTCAATCACTGGTTTCAACAGAACTGCATCAGATTTGACCCTGATTCTGTGTGTCCAATTATTGCCTGAGAGATATTCAGCAGCTAGAAACTGGTTGTGTGAGTCTGACCTGAAAATGTAATTAGATGCTGATTACAATATATATTCTCTGTTTCTTTGGAGTGAAGGCCATATTTTGGTGATTCTTTTGATTCAAATGATGGTCTCATTTTCCCGCTACTTTAACACGGTTCTCAAAAATTAAAATGGCTGTCAGAAATATGTAAATTGTATTAAAGAGACAGCCTTTTCCAAGGTCATCTAAACATGTAACTGTTGAAAGGAGAATTGCATTGACTTAATTCCCCCTTCATATCTCACTATTTTACTAATAACTGTTCTAAACCAGAGACCCCTCTCAGTAACACACTGTAAGCAACAGGATGTTGAATTGTAACATTGTTAGAATAATTAGTCACAACATGCATTTTTTGTATTTTTTCTGGTTAACCAGATATTTAGATCAAATCCTGTTCCCTGCAAGAGCAAGGAAACCTAAGTGGGGCGTGTGTCTTGTGATTGCTCATTTCTCTGGTCATTTGGAGAACTGTGAGTAGAAGAGCTAGCCTCTACCTGTATGGGGCCAGAGCATGCTTGAGTCTGTGCTTTAACAAGATGCCAGCAAGGGTGCTGGGATTGTTCTTGGGAGCACTGGATTGTGACAACTGCTAGTATTATCAGTACCAAATGTTTAAAGCTTTATTCTGGATTAGTCTGAACCGGTTGATAGGATGTAGGAGTTTTCAAGTATTTGTTAATGCATACGATCCTGTCTTTAACAAGCCAATTTTCCATGGACTGGATGGTCAGGCAGCAATCAGTGTTAACTGGATGGTCTCCTGTTCCTTAGGCCAGGGAACTGGGTGCAACCCACATCAGTCTGGTTTTTAGAGTGTGTTTCTCTTTGACAGCTTCTCAATGTCTTCCCCCCCTTTTGGATTGGTGGTTGTATTAGCTGGAGGATTGGTGTATTGTAGCTTCCAGATTCATCTGCAGTAAACAGAGCAGCTGGGCTGCTGCTGGCACAGGAACTGCCAGACCAATGTGCCCCGGGTGGAGGCAGCTCTGATGCTGAGGAACCTTTTGCCTGACATGAGGTGTTGTGCCGGAGTATTAAAAGGGAACTGAGAAGTAAAAACTTGCCCTTCCTTTCCATTCCCTTGTGACTCCTAAACACATTTGCACCCCACAATTTCTTGTTGTTTTCTTTCTCTAGTGACAAAAGTTTCTTGGCAAATTACTAAACAAAGAGGAATTTATTAGACATGTACCACACAAGCAAAGGAGGAAAATGATAGATGGCTTTTTACTTTTCTTGATTTCCCCAACTATCAGCAACTTTACCCCAACCTTCTCTGTCCAAGATGTAACCAGAATTCCTGGCACTCCACCTATACTGTAGCAACATCAATTGTCAAGCCAGAGAGAAGAAGTTTGACCTTGCCCTATATGTCTCCCTTAGGCAGGACAGGCACCCTGAACACAGAGGTTCTGCCTGGTGGTCTGGAGGCTGATGCCAATTTGCACAGGCTTTTCATGCCTACCAGACTTCCAAAGCAGTTTTTGGTCCCATTCAGCAGAAACAAGGTGATAAAACCAATGTAGATTTTCAAGTAGGTTAAAAAGCCCTCAGGTTGAGACTTTTGTGTTTAGTTTCTTGCACCCTTTCTGTAACAATCTGCAATACACATAATTTCTTGTTGCCTTCATTGGAACCTTTTTTTTCTTAGCATCTAGAACAATTGTGTGCATAGGAAGCTGGTAATTCTTTTTCCTTGAAACACGTCAGGCTATTGAAGGATGTGCATACATTTGTGTGTGTGTATGTGTTTATGTATATATATAAAAGGAGAAACTGATTAATTACCTTCTCTGTGCTTGAGAGGCATTGCTGCAAACACATTTTGTCTTCTACAAAAAGAGCTGCATGTTGCACTACCTAAGAGGAAGAGTGATCTGTTGCCATTGAATTTTGTAATTCTCAGAGGAACACTGTAAAAAGTATTGAAGTGGGAAATTGAGCGAGTTTTCCCATTACCAGTATGAACTATCAGGAACATTTGCATGGCATCCCAGGTCTGCACAACACTTTGCTTTAAGGTTGCTGTTCTTGATCATTCAGAGCTGCAGCAGAAGCTCAGTGATGCCAATGCTTCTACGCTTTGGTGGACTGTTGACACAAGTTTGCACAAAAGGACCCATGAAAATGGTGTTCCTGGGTTGCTTCTTGTATGTACAATAGAAAAAGCATCAGTGAAATGTTTTATATAATTTCATTTGATCCTGATCTATGATTAGATGTTTGATTGTAGTATGTCCTTTGATTATGATATTGATACTCTCTCTGCCTGCCTCTGGTTTGTCCAGAGATGACTGAGCCATCCTGCTATAATGAAGGTGCTGGAGATTTTTTTTTATCACTCTGTCCTTATTAGCTTCCAAGGACTTCTCTCAAACTCTTAGCACTCTTGAAAGGCAGAGAGCAAAGCAGTCCCACTGAAGCCCTGCACACCAAAGTGGGATTTATGAGAGAGAGAGAGAGAGGATGGGATATTGATAAGGTCTACATAGATGGGCTGGAGTATCCAGTCAGTGCCTCATAGATCCTCCTTGAAAAGTACAGAGAAGGAACAGTAGCTGTTATTCTATCCAGTATGTTAAAAAGATACATTTTAATGACTTGCAACCCTAGAACCAGTTTGTGATTGGCAAGATGCAACTCTTCAGTTCCTGCTTTGTCTACCAGAATTCCTGGGTCATCGTGTACACAGACAAGGTGGTGATTCTAGGAGGATACTGAATTTCTGGAGCTAAGTGTTCCTGTCAAATGTCAGCATACTTGGAGAATGAAGACTACAGTGAGGTGTCTAATAACTTGAGTTATTTTGCAGAGAAAACAAGATCTGATGTTTTGTCCTCCATACAGCATGGTGTAATTTGTGATCTTGAACTATTCATGTCACCTGGATTTGGCAGCAGAGTAGCATAGCAGCTGAGAGATTTAGCAGATAAAATATTCATGTTTTGTGTAAGCTGCTAGCCTTACACTGGAAAGAGAAAATTTGCTGGCTTTCATGTGAATTTCTGCCAAATATTCGTTCTTTCCACTGTACGTTGCGTTTTCGTACTGGGTTTAGAGGGTGATCTGACAGAGGCTGTGTTTTGCTGCAGAACACTTCCTTGGATCGGGAGTATCTCTGTGTAACCCAGCACACTTATTTCATCTGTTTTGCAGTCTGGAGGCTGCCAGCATTGGATTCATCATCATCATCGACAGACGACGGGACAAATGGAGTGCAGTCAAGGCATCCCTAACACGGATAGCAGTAAGTGCTTGCTTTTGTTATTTATCTTCTAGAAAGTAAAATTATCTGCTGAGCCTTCAGCATAGGATACAGTCTCCTGTGCTCATTTTTAGCTTCCATTTTCTGGCTGCAGATTCTCCCCTACCCTGAAGCTCATGAGTGTTAAATAAGAAAGGGAGGAAGCTGCAGTAACAAGTTACACAGCTTTGTTTACTGCTGAATTAGGACAAATTTCTTATTTTCTGGGCTAACTGCAATATAAATTCTAGCAATCTGAAGTTAATTCCTAGGAGAGTATAACAGGGGTACTCTTCTGTGCACTGAGGAGTGATGATGTGGCCTGCTTATGAAAGGAACAGATCCTAAAGGACTTGGATTTGCATAGCAGTAAGTGGTCTCTGTCAGAAACTCTTAACAGCTTATTATATCTCATTTGCAAAAGTCAGACCTAGGAACTGATTTTCAGTGCTAATGAAAGCAGCTGGTTTTATGCATCTGCTACCAAGAACGTGCCGTGTGAGGAACAAGAACTTATACACAGATGTGTAGGGTGGAAGGATGACCAAAGAAACTATGTTCTTTCAAGGAATTGAGACAGAATTGCCTTTCATTCTTAGTTCTTTTTAGCTGCTGTCTTCTAGAATTGTTCTTTTTTGTGCTTGATGAGCTCAGGGGAGTGTGTGAGAGATGTAGGCTCGGTGTCGCAGAAAGGGCCATGTCTGGTGAATGTGTTGAGTGCATATGTGGGGGGGAAAAATATGTGAGGTTAATCAGATTAAAAACCCTTTCCAGAGTGAGAAGGTAGGTCAGGCTGGGGAATCCATCTGTGGCACCAACTTCTTTCACCAAGTCAAATGTGGGTAGCCAGTTTTGCCTCCTGGTGGCTACAGCCTACAAACTCAGGAAAACCTATGGTGTGATAGTGCTAAGGGGGCTTGGTGTGGTTCAGATCTGCAGCATGAAGGGACTAGTGAAGAAACTTTCAAGCTGTGTTAAATCCATATCAGAAAACAATGTATGGCTGGGCAGTAAAATCCATGGGCCAGTCTTTCCATTGGCTTTGGAGATTCCAACCTAAAGGATTCTATGTCTCTATAGTGGCAATGGGCTTGTGCTGAACGGACCAGCTGATATCAGCAGGTGGACTGAGCAACGTTTAGGAAGTCCTACCTGCTTTGCCCTCTTTAGGAAACCCTTGGCTGAAAATTCCCTTGGCCTTCCTGCAAGGCAGAGGTACACCTTCTTATAGTTGTGTGTTTCCCGCAGGGAGCATTTCCAGGAAACCTGCAGCTGGTGTTTGTCCTGCGACCCTCCCGCTTTATCCAAAGGACCATCGCTGACATTGGCATTAAACTCTACCGCGATGACTTTAAAATGAAGGTACCGGTAAGCATGCATTTTTTTCCCCATGTATTTTCTTCATCTCCATATCTGCAGTTCTTAGGTGTCAGCGATTTCTCATAACCCTGTAACTGAAATTTGAGTGCAAGTGGCAGCTGGGGACTTTCATCTGGGTCTGTATGGGGTATATAGGAATAATGCCAAAGATTTAATTACCAGTGGATGCAACAGTATTTGATGGACGAGTTCCCATGTGGAAGGTCAATCTAGCTATAAAATGTGACTCATTTTTAAATTACTGACATCTTAGCTCAGTGAAGCTGTCTACCTGATCTAGGCAGAGGTAGATCTTCTCACTCCACTGACAGATATATTTAGGACTACAGAGCAGTGAAAGGCTAGGGCTGAATTCTGCACTCTTTGAAGTATTTTCCATGGGACTGCTGATGGTGACCCCATTAAGTCCTTGCTTAGTGTTGCCTGTTCTTAGTGGTTTTTATGATCCCCACACCCTCAGGATTCAAAGTTTGTTTTTTACCTTTTTTTTTTATATGCACTTGACTTTTTTTATATGCACTTGGCGTATGATTTAAGTTGATGAGAATGTGATTTGAAGCATGTTATCAATCCTGAAAAATTTGAAGTTTTAGATTATTCTGTGAGAGCTCTTTTGGGGATTGTTCCTTGATGCATGTTTGCATGTGGTTTTGAAGTGTTTTACAAATAAACTTGAATTACGATTATTCTTGGTATTTCATCCTGGACCAGATTCATACTGTGTTCTACAATGACTTTACTGGACTGATTTTGTACCATTTGTATGTATTTTGTATTATTTGATTATGTATTTGGATTTTGCTTGTGGTTTTATATTGTTTTGCAAAAGACCCATGCTTCTCCTCCAGCATAGTCTAGCTCTGTTTGAAATTCAGGTGTTTAAGACACTTTATGCTTCTTCTGAAGCAACACAGCAGCCAATTTATTACAATTCATACAGAAACGAACCAGGAATATTAATTTGGTTATTGTGAATTAAATTGTAATGTTGACTGTAGTTTGGCAAGGGTGGGTTTTTGGTAGTCAAAATGCAAAACCTATGTAAATTTGTGTTTGACTACAAAACAAAATCTTTTAATTTTATAGCACCTTCTAAAAAGGATGTTTCTGTGTTTAATAAGCCCAAATCTGTTACCATAGCAACTGTTGTGCCAATGACTGCAGCCTGGAAAGGGACAACTTCATCAAGGACTAGTGTTTTCTAAATATTCAGCATCTTCTATACTTTTGGCAATTTATCTGACGACAAGTGTTACATTTCAAATCCAACTTAAAACTATAAAAGTTGGAAGGGAGGTTAGTTCTAGGCAGAGGCCAAGCACTGCATTAAGTATTAAATAGTAACTTCTTCCTTACAGGCAGGAAAATCAAGATATAAGTTTAATTTGGGGTCATCTTGGACATTCAGATTTTGAGCTATCTTGGGTATGTGCACAGAACTCTTAGAAATCAGTCTTACAAAAACTAAGAGCACGATATACTTGCTGCTAGATGTGCCTGCCTCCTGCCCAGGTATTTATAGACAGATGGTCAGATTTATATACAGGCTGTCCACGTATGCCTGATGCTATTGTAAGTTGCTGAGGGTTCTGCTAAAGATGTCCTAAGTTCCTGGGGTCTGCCATGCTCTCTGGAGGGGTCTTTCACCTGTGTTTGCAACCCATCTTAAAAAGACCACCTAGGCAAGCCCCTGTGTAGCCCAGTTTCAGAATGGGTAAGTTACTGAGAGCAATATCTTTTGGTCCACCTTGAGAATAGCATCCTACATGCCAAGCATGAGAACACAGCCAAGGAGCTCTCATCCCGTGGGTTATATCCTTATTTAGGGAATTAGGTATCTATCTATAACAGGTACTGTTTGCAGTTTGTTCAAGTTGTGCTTGGCACTATGACAACATTAATGTCATGGCTGGGCTGTGGTTGCATTTCTTATCACAAGTACAAGTGAGTCAGGGCGAGGACATGAGCATTCAAAAGGGGCTTTAAGAATATGGTGTGCGTTTGTTAAGGAAACATTTGTTAAAGAATTTATCTGAGCAATCAGACTGCAAATATATTTAGTAAAATAGATTTGCTGAATTAAATCAACATTGGATTAAGTAGTAGCCAGAAGAGCAAACAGAAGCAGGAAATAAAGGCTGAAATAATAAACCAGACACAATAAGGAAATGCAGGATTTATATGATTTACTAACATACAAATGTAGTTAATAAAATCTCTTGAGATAATTCTCTATTGAGATAGTGATTTGACTAAGATCTTTAGCCAGGAGCAAGATGCAGGAGTATAGGAGATACACTAGGGTTCAGCTGAGATAAAATCTGGGAATTCAAAAGGAACATCCCAAGATTTACCTAAGCAACCTGCCATCATGGGAAGTGAATGGAAACATCGTCACAACATACAAAAAAGGTTGAATAATGTGTCCATAGCAGGCAGTTCTTTGACCATTGTAGACTGACTACGTTCAGATGGCTCATAAAGAAACTTCAGCACAACTCTGTGTCCTTTGCTGACCTGCTTATGCAGGCTCTCCCTTTCTAAACTGCTAATCTCTTGTATTTTCCAACTTACTGAATGTGGCTGTCTTCAGTCTGGCAAGAAGTAGGGGAGATGCTAATGCTCCATAAGATTGGTTTCTTAGATGGGCATTGAATCTCTCCTAGGCTTTCTCCTGTAGAGATGCCTGCAGAGCAAAGATGTGTGCCCTGTTGGGTAGCACCATAACTGGCAATTTTGCTTTGTGGCTCATGCTGGGCACATCAAGTTAAAGCAAACATCTTCCTTAAAGAAAAGTGCATGACTGTTTTTCTGTAGTTTCAGTGAAGTTTAGAGTATTAAAAAATTTCCAAACTGTCAGCAACGTCTCTGATGGGGAAGAACTATAAAGCAGTTAAGACTTATTTTCTCAAAGATGATTTGCAGTTCAGAAGTTGTGCATAGGCTTCATGTTCCAGACAGAGGCTACTCCAAAATAATGTAGTTTTGGGTTTTTTTTATTTTTCTGGCTTCGATCACAATGAAACAGCCATCGGCAACACATTCAGGGCATAGTTTTCGCTTTAGCTTTGGCTGAGGTGCTCTGTGCTTTCTTTGCCAGCAAGATCTTCTGGTCTCTATGTTTAGAAGCAGGATTCAAGGAGAAGATTAACTGCTGGAAGTGAAAGAGAATTGAGTCAGGGACTACTTGAGAATATTCAACCTGTACAGGTCCATGGGACCAGATGTGTCTCCCACAATATTTCTGTATCCAAGTTATAGTGTTATAGCATAGATGAGTAGACAAGGAGAGGGATTTAGAAATTTTGCTTGCCTGGGCTCAAAAGGTAAGGGTTGATGGGTCATACTCTACCTGGAGGGAGGCAAAAAGTGGAGTGGTGTAGTGATATCTCCTGGGACCTGCCTGGCTTAACACCTTTATCAATGACAACAGGATGTGCTGTTATCAAGTTTGCAGACAAGACTAAAATGGGAGGAACGGTTGATAACACTCAAAGACAGGGGCTCTCAAGGAATGGGCTGACCAGCGTATTATGAAATACAAAAGGGACAAATGCAAAGTCCTGCAGCTGGGAAGGATTTCCGTCCTCAAGGAGGAAGAACTTGCATTCTTCCCTCTCAACAAGACAACAGTGTTGTGTTGTTGCCAATGATACAGGCTGTAGCCTGACTGACTGGGGAGCAACTCTGCTGAAAAGGACCTGAGAACTTGGTAGACAGCAAGCTCTATGTGAGCCAGCAGTGTGCACTGGCAGCGAGCTATCAGCATCCTGCATGAACAGCAACAGGACTTGCAGGAGCTTAGCCAGCAGATCGAGACAAGCGATTATGCCCCTGTACTTAGCACTCACTAGATCATACTGGGAATACCCTGGCCAGTTTTGTATCCCTCAATACAAGAAACATATTGATCTGGAGTGAGGCCGACAGAGCACCATCAATAAGGTCAGGGCTTGGAGCATGTGCTCTATAAGGAGACGCTGAAGGAACTGGGCTTGTCTAGCCCGGAGAAGGGAAGTCTTGGGAGGGTTGATATGTCATACCAGCAGCTTCCAGTCTCTCTAAGCAGGTTACTGAAAGCATGCAGCCAGGTTGTACGTGACAGTAGGACAAGAGATAATGGACATAAAGTGAAGCAAGGGCTGTTCTGACTTGACATAAGGGAAAATCTTTTTCGTGACAAAGATAATCAGGCAGTGGAGCAGACTGCCCAAAGAGGCTGTACAGGCTTTGTCCTTGGAGGTTTTTAAGACCCAGGTGGATAAAGCCCTGAGCAACCTGGTTTGATCTCGCAGCTGATCCAGCTTTGAGAAAGAAGTTGGACTATAGACTTGAGGTTCGTGCTAACTTGAATTATTCTACAATGGTTCTGCAACAAAGACCAGCTAAAAACCTGTTCAGGTTTGTTCTCAAGGCTTTTCTTAGAGTATTGTCAGCCTCGACTGTACATCCTCCTTCCTCCATACATCTGTACTCATCTCACTGTCCACAGTGCCTGCAAGTGCACTTACTGTGCTCCCTTGGAGCTTGCTAACAGGCACAGCCAGTTATCCTTTCTTTAAACAGCAGAGTGAAGTAATAAATTTAATATATATTAAAGTCTAAGGCCTGAAATTTCTAGTCATTTGTGCTCAACATCTCATTTTTCTGTTGCTGAAATCAGGGTGTGTTTTCTACCTATTAGAACAACAAGACATAATTAAAGATGTGTGTTACTTGTGTAATCACTTGTGTTCCCAGACTTGCAGTGGTTGCCAAAAGGTAATGCTGGTTACCCAAAGCTGAATGCAAATCTGCTTTTGGTTTCATTAGGCAGGACTAGTGGTAGAGAGACCCCTTTGAAGTTAGAAAACGGATTTAGGTTTGTCTGTCCTTTCTCTTTCATCATGGTTTAAAATTATTGTTTTAAAATGACAGTGAACTCAGTGGACATACAGTGCCATAAAAAAAAGATACAACTGAAAGGAAAATCTTATTGTCAGAAGTCTAATTTCAGCTCTTCCCTGGATCAAGTGGTTGGTGTTGAGGAAGATGTCTAACTCCTCCATTTCTATGTAAAGAACAGCTATCTAGAAATTACAGAAATTATTTGATGGAATTTTGTGTGAGCATAATGAATATCATAGTTTTGCTCTTGATGCACACACAAAATGACTGCATCTTCAGCCTAGCAAGGAGAAAAATGATATCAAATTATGGTTTGTTCAAGGATGGCCATGTTCAAGCTGAGAAGCTAAGATCCAGTGAAAACAAACTGTGGCCATTTTATGAACAAATACATAATGAGAATTTACTGCCTTTGGTGGAATTACAGTTTGGTTATATATGTTTAAGGCAAACCCAGATCCTAGGAATAAGGATGGAAAGGGCTTGTAATTTCTCTCAGACCACTGTGTTTGGATTCGTTTCAGATCATCATGTTAAATTCTGTGTCTGATCTGCATGGCTATATTGACAAAAGTCAGCTGACCCGGGAGCTGGGAGGAACACTGGAGTATGGCCACAGTCAGTGGATTCATCACCGAACTGTGAGTGTTGGTGTTGTCCTCACACATGTCTATTCCCAGAGTTGTCCAGGTGACGAGTGTAGAGCAACCATTAAGTAGTAACTCTTCAGCTGCATTTCAGTCTACGGATTCTGCTAGGGACTCATGGAAAGAGGGATTCCATGACCCAGATAGAGAAAGGTAAATTCCCCAGAAGTCTGTAATAGAAGTAGTAATTGTATCTCACTGTTGGGCTGGACTAGGGCCTTACAGTGTTCGGTGTTCTTACTCAGCAAGGCCCTCTGGCACTTTCTTACCTTTTGAATAGTTGGTGAAATCTGAAGGCCTTCAAGTCATAGTTGAAGCTGAACATATGCTTTAGCACTTTATGACCTTTTATATACCTTGGATGAAAGGTTAAAATACTCACTTTAATGATTAATTATGTCCATGTTTTTGAGAGAAGAAAAATACTCAAGACATTAGATTTAATTTGTTTTCATTTCTGTGCTCTGTAAACATGCACTCCAGCTGGGCTTTATTTTGAGTAACTGAAGAACAGTTAATAACTGTAGGAAGGCAGAAAGACTTTTTATTCTATTGCCATTGAGGAAACTTGTTCCATGTCTGATTGTTCCCTTTTGGGTTGGTTAGTGCATTTCAGTGGCTTCTTCAAAACAATGTAAACAATTCATTATCATATGTCCTCTGGCAGAGGACTTTGGAGCCCTGGTGGCTTGGTGGTTGGACTTGATGATCTGGGAGGTCCCTTCCAATCTGGATGATTCTATGATTCTATATATCTGGGCACCATATAATCATGGTGCCCAGAAAAGGTGACAGTTTCAAAAAACAGACCCCAAACTCTGGCACATTAGCAGCCAAAATACTGCCTCATCCTATCTAAGCAAAAATGGGCAAAGCTGGGTCACGATCCAGAAAAGAGATTAGTTTCCCAGAGACTATATGTAATGATTGCATCTGTCTTTGTGGGTCTGCTTGCAAGACTGGTATGTTAGAGCTCACATCTAAGTAGCCCAAATGTTTTGCAGTGTTCTGAGCAGCCCCTGATTTGAGTCCGTTCTTGCTGACCTGCAGGTTAGGTCTAACACTTGAGAAAAGAGATTTTCTGAGGTAGCTTTAAGTCAAATCACTTTTGCCACTTTTCTGCTATCATTTTCTGTGATTTACTGTCTGTATAAAATTAAATTTTACTCCCCTTGAGAACCACCAAGTATTTCAGGCTTCTGAATATGCAAATACAGAATATGAATTTCTTCTAACACTGGTTTGCTACATTCATAGCTGTGTTGACTACAATGAGATTAGAATTGAGGTTTACATGTTAAAAGTATCAAAAATATTAAACTGTCCTTGCAGGAAGGGCAAGTCTGAAGGAATACTCTATATGAGCTTTGAAACAGCTGAAGGCTTGAAAAAAAAAATGAGGAAGGGGAGTAAAAAGAGGCACAAGAAAGGCTGTATTGTTTATTGATGACAGGAGTTTACATTAAGCATGAATATATATTTTGGTAAAATATGCAAATAAAAGTGAGCCAAGATTTGAGGTAAGTGTGGCTATGTAATCCCCAGGGCTTTTGGTTACGTTTGTTTGAAAAACTTTTGCCAAGCACAGAGACTTGAAAAAACACCCCACAGATGTAACTTAGGTATGTGAAACAATTTATTACTCATAGGCACAGGAAAGGGTTGGGGCAAGCGTGCTATGAAGTGAAACGCTGATAAGCTCATGGTGCCTGGTGCAGTCAGCCAAGGAATCTCTGCTGGATAAGAGGCTGTCAGCAGGGAAGTGTCACCCTCCATGGCACCTTGAAGCAACCTGACTCTCAGTCTCCCTGAGCTGCAGTCCTCGTCCCCTTTGCTTCTCCTCTTAGTGTTCTCATATCTTGTCCTGCCAGTGTGTTTTTTCTGACCTGGCTAAATAGTAGTGACACCACAACCTCACTGCATTGTTCCTTGAGTCTTCTTTCTTAGCTTGAATGGCTAGGAGCCTATGAGCTTTCTTGCCCAGAGCATTTCTGGCTTTAAGTAAATGGCTTTTGCTCGTGGGTGGCTCTATTTGTGTTGCAGGCCGAATTGTGGCATTTTGGCCAACTTTAATCCAGTAGTTTCAGTGCTGAGAGTGTGTGTGGGTCTATACTGCTTATGTTGCAAGCAAACATGAATTCTTTGGGAAAAAAAAATTAAAAAGGGAAGAAGGCTAAGAATTCTTCTAGCATTGCCTCATCTGGGGCATGTTTCAGGTCACATATGTGGAATATAATTTTTCTCTGCACCTTTTGAATGAAGATCTGTGTCCAGTTTTTTTTCTTCACTGAGCACACAGCATAATTTGCAGTGTCATGGTTCCAAATGTGGAACTCCTATCACTGCTGGAGAAGAGAATGCAGCTTGCAACAACTATGTAGTGTTTGACTGGCTGTAAGAATATCCCTAGTGCTCTTGACTGACTCAAACCTTTGGGCGGGTTAGATCAAAAAGTGTAAAGAGTAAAGAGCCATACAGAATATAATAGAGTCCCTTAAGAAACTGGGGGCATGATCATAAAAAACATCCCATGCAGTTCCTTGCTACTAGATAGAAAGGTTTAATCACATACCACAAATCTGAACAATATATTCATTCTACTCTGAAAAGGCAGCATTGTTTTTAAGCCTTTCCTCACTTCCCCTTTCTTCAGTAAACCAACAGAATTCTCACAAGTTTTTTGTTGTTGGTAGACCCAAGCGATACGGGAACAGCAATGCTGCAATGAATTTACACATTTTAGCTGTATTTGCAGTAAGTTGTTCTTCTATTTGCTGATATGAACAGATGGGAGGAAGTGACTGGAATGTGTCTACTACAGATAGGTAGGACGAAGATGAACATTTTCAGAAGTCAGGGGGAAGACAGATTACTACTGAGTGAACAGTGGCTGTATAAATGTAAATGTAAAAAGGCTTTGCCCTGTATACTTCAGGAGTCTCCTCAACTTAAATAAAGCCTTAATTAAAATTTTAAACACAGCAGAATTTCCCAGCAAGCACAGACAGAGGATCTGAAGTTCCAGTCTTGGCTTTGAAGCTGATGTCCTCTGTGGTTTCATTATGTCTGTTAAGTTCTGGGACTTCCCCAGCTGGTTCATGGAGATGCCAATACTTCTAGGCCTGTGAAAAGGTCATTTGTAACACAGGATTTCATTTGTAGCTTTACAAATTAAAATCTGTAGCTTTTACCCCAAAAAGCACAGTATGAACAGCTTTACAGGCATGTAATACTTGCAGCATAGTGTGTCTGAAGGACTAGGCATTATTAAAGGGCTAAGGGTAAATAATCAGGCTGTGACTTTGTTTTTGCTGTTCCAGGCTATTGAAAACTTTGCAATGACAGTTAAAACAACAGCACAGATGCTACAGACCTTTGGAACAGATCTAGCAGAGACTGAACTTCCCAATGATGTGCAGTGCACAGAGGACCTCCTCTCCACACACACTGACCACCACAGCAAGCTGAAGGTGAATGTTGTCTCACGAGAGCTCCACTAGTGTAGTGTTTAATTTTTGATTTAACAAAATTTTCTGTCATCATTTGGAAGTCTGTTGTCTGGAAACTACTGAAGAGGAGGAAAACTTGGGTTTAGGAGGTTGATTTGAATCAAGTGTGAAAAAGGACTTTTTACAGCTTCAAGAATGGTAGAACAGGGAAATGTCACCTCTACTGTATGAGAGGGTGTGATGGGATTGCACCTGGAATAGCATGGGTTCCTGAGGAAGGGTTCATCAGAAAGGATGAACTCTCTTTGGAGAGTGCAATTAAGAAGTGCAGCATCTCAGCACAGTCGCTCAGCCCACTGAATTCAATTTGTGGTAGAATAATTCATTCTGCAAGTTGCCTGGTCAGAAATAAAATCTGCTCAGAAGTTATATACTATTCCTTTTGTGAAAAATATATCTATTGTTCAAAGTGAATAATTTAGTCCCTGCATTTCTAGAAGAACATACCAATGTTAGTAAGCATTTATATTTTGTTCCAAGTATTTAATACCTCCAGAAGAATCCTCCTTTAGCATTACTTTGTTGTCCATCTAGAAGAAGTGAGTGTTGTTAGAATAAGTACATATAATTTGTTTGGCTTGTTTTTTTTCCCCTCAGGATGAGCTGAAACTAGCTGTGAAGCAGGGGGCCACCCTACTGACATGCATTAGGGAGCCTGTCACCCGCAGTGCCAACAGCAAACTCAGTCCAGATGAACTGGAAAATGTGGCAACAGTAGAAAGGTCAGTGAAGCTAAATCACCCTGTGCAAGTTGCTAATTTATTCCTAAGAAATGCAAGCGTAATTTAAATTATTTAAATATGTGGACTGTAAATTCCCACTGGTTCAGCTGTTCAGGATCTTTTGGAAAGGTAATTCAGAGAAGGGGATAGCTTTGAGGAAGCTACTTGACTAAACTGTCGAGGCAAGTTCAAACAGGTCCTGAATTTCTTGGTAATTTTTGGCTGGACCACTAACTACCTGGCTGAAGATTTAATGTGGGACTTACTTTCTCCATAACATGTGTCCTCCAAACTTCTGTGCCTGGTTAGAAAGTGGCATCTGAATCCATAGGAGATGAGAGGGTGTGTGCTTGTGCATGTCTGTGGAAACACTGGGGGAGGAACAGGTGAAGATGATACTCTGATGCATACCCCTTCACAGCTGCATGGAGAGAAACCCCTATTCCTTCCTACAATGCTAGTTATTACCATAAAGCTTTTTGTCACCACGTAGAAGCTTCTGCTGTGCCATGTGATGCAGTGGAATGGGAAACGCCGTGCTCGTGTTTCAGCGTGTCTGCATTCTCTGGGAACAAAGCTGCCGAAAGCAAAGCTGAGCTGATATTTTTCACTGAATACTTTAAAATCCTTTAAACAGTCATCCCAAAGGAATTTGCAAATTCATCTTGAATTCAACAACTACCTCTAATTAAAACCACCTTTTTCAGGGGTTGATTGAAAACAGAACTTTGTTTTTGAGAGGAATAGGAGGGATCTCTCAGTGTTTGCCCCAATAACTTGATGGTTCCAGCACACACTGGGAGTATAGGAGATCAGGCCTGGTCCCCTGCCGACCCAGTGAGTGCACGTCTGTTGAAATAGATACTCAGAGAAGACTTTCTTTAATGGTGTTTTGTTTGGGTTTTTTTTGTTTGTTTTTGTTTGGTTTTTTTTTTTTTTTTGTTTTCTTTTCTTTTCTTTTCTTTTTCCCTGTTTAAACTGTTCTGCTTTGTAATATAATTAATAGAACATTGAGAGACTGTGAGGATGACTCATTAGTCTGATGTCAAACATTTTACTCAAGATGTATGACACCTTGATTCTAATTTCTTTGTGAATATTTCATCACTTACACAAAGTGAAACAATGTCCATTGGAGGCATTAAGAGCTTCTGATTTATTGTTTTTAATAGACTAGGAAAAATTATTCAGTCCTTGCCTATTTCTGATGAGTGAAGAAAATGAACAAGTAGAGCTCTGCTTTAAACATTCTTTAAAATAATAATTGCATCATATTAATTCTGGATTAGGGTTGAATTATCTTTGAAGAATCGGCTGGAAGCTAGGGACAGACAACTGCCTTTGGCTGCCAGTGCATGGAACAGCTCTGTGTTCCTGTTGCAGGTCAGGAGGATCCATGTGGTTGTCACTCATGAGTCACACTCCTGCCTGTCCCACTGCAAATAGCATTTTCTTTTGCTTAAGGGAAGGCTGACACAGAGCCTTCTTACATAGACGTAGGCTTCCCACCATCTCCCTTGATGCCATCTGCTATCAACTGGTGTAACTTAAAAGAAATTAACTATAGGAAATAAGTAAGTTCTTTTCATTCCAATTTCTTAACAGGTTGTTGGCTCAGTTGGATGAAACAGAAAAGGCTTTTGATCAATTTTGGACCAAGCATCACCTAAAACTAGAACAATGCCTGCAGCTTCGACACTTTGAACATGATTTTAGAGAGGTATTTCACTTGTTCATTCTGTCTAGCCTCCTTAGGGAAAAATAAGGTCAAATTTTACCCAGACTTTATACCAGAGTATACTGGCAATCCAAAAAGGAAGCTGAGAGACGAGCCCTTCATTATGAAACTGGAAATGGATATTCAAAAACTAAATTCTTGACAGCTATCAGATCTCTTACACCATTTGAGGAAAGTGCCAGCCTCTTAGGCCAAAACGTGAAACACCACGTTCCTCATAATCATTTTGCATTTGTGTGTGACGTTACCAAATATCACTTCTGTGATGGTAAATTGCCAATCCCACCAGTCAGGGGAATACGGTTCAGAAAGTCCAACTGCTGGAGTAAGGCAGACTCTGGAGTCACAGGTCTTCAAAACTGTGTGGGCCTAAACAGGGCGCTCATTGAAGAATAGTTGATTGTTGCTTTATTCCTTGGCTCTTCCTGTTGGAGTGAGCTGAAAGTCTAAACTTGAGATGCAGTCTCTTCTAAAAGATGTAGGTGAATATTTAGGAGCTGGAGGTTTGTTAGATTTTTATGAGTATCTTGTGATGGCATTTTGGATGGGTTTTTTTATTAGTTGGGGTTTTCTTTGTTTGTTTTATAGGTAAAACTGGCATTGGATAATCTCATGGAAGCACAAGCAGGTTTTGCTGACATTGGAGACAGTGTGACTCGAGTGGAGCACCTCTTAAAGGAACAGAAACAACTGGAAGAGAAAGGACAGGTTTGCACTCAGTATAGTATTCTAGCTGTTGTAGACATGATCTTCTAGATTCTCCTCTGTCACTGTCCTTACATCATGCTTTTATTTTAAAATTATATTCAAAATTATTATTTTAACATAAAACTCAGATCCTAATTTCCAGAAGCCAGGATTATTCAGACCCAGTAGTTCCAGTTTGTTACTTGGAAAGTTAGAATCCAGTTCAAAAATTGCTATTTCAAACCAGGAAAGGTTCATTCATCTTTGGAAGCTCAAAAGTTCAGAATACCTCACAGAGATATTTTTAAGATAACTTTTAAGACTATCCTATTCAGACTCATAGCAGTTTGGGGAATACCCATGCCTTCCAAAATCCTTTATTTTCCAGACATTTGGACTTTAATTCCATCAGCTGGTCAGCCTCACATTTAGTAGTATTAGAAAACACTGAACAAATGAATAAGCTGAATCAGAGGAACATGAGCATGAACAAATGGAAAAGCTGGTGTTAATATTTAAGAATAGGATTAAGATTTAGAAATATTGTGATCTTCACACAGCTCTTCTGTAGAAGCCTAAGGGAATAAAGGTTATTGGAATGTGCATTTTCCTTCCAGCGTCCACATCACATCAGATATTGATGTGTACTCTACTCCAGTTAGCCACTCCTAATTTCATCCTATTGTGACAAAGCTTATGAACTGTACTCAGTAGGATCTAAAGAGTTTTCCAAAATGTATCTTGGAATGACAAATAAACCAAAGCACTATAAATCTGGCAATTAGTGAGTGAAAAAGACAAACAAACAAACAAACTGGTGTTTTGATTATTGGGAACTTCACAGGGAAAAAAAACTTTTCTAATGACTGTCCCTGGTATGTGAGGAGGAAGGCGGCGTACACTCACGGAATCACAGTTACCACACAATGATTAAGGATGGAAAAGACCTCTGGAGATTGTCTTGTTCAATGCCCCTACGTTCAAAGCTCAAGCAGGGCCACCTAGAGCAGGTTGTCCAAGAGGACAGGTCGTCCAGATGGCTTTTCAATATCTTCAAGGAGGGAGACTCCACAACCTCTCTGGGCAACGTGCTCCAGTGTTTCCTGATGTTCAGATGGAGCCCCTTGCATTTCAGTATATTCACTGACAAGGAACATCATTTTCAATGTTTTAAATATAAAGCAAAACATATCAGCTAGATTAATATCCAACACTTTTACCTCCAGGCTACAGCATGGATGATTAGATAGATTGTCTTTATTATGCATGACATTTTAAGATCTAACTTTGGAATTTTTTCTCTTTAATTTCATAGGAACCTTTGGAGAAGGCCCAGTCTCTAGCTCTCCATGGAGAACAGCTCATCCAAAACAACCATTATGCAGTTGACTCCATTAGACCAAAGTGTGTTGAACTCAGGCGTATTTGTGATGACTTTACCAATGAAACCAAGAAAAAGTATGATATTTTGGGCAAGTCTCTTGAGCTGCATAAGCAGTTAGATAAGGTGAGAGAACCTGGTCAGATAAGAGCCCTGGTAAGGCTCTACTGAGCATGAATGCTTTTATAAGCTCAGGTAATTTGGATGAAGAGGAAAAAAATAGTGTGGTGGTTTTTTTTTTCTTTTTTCCTCCATTTAATTCAGAGACTGTTACTATAAAACCTGGTGCAGTAGCTTCCCATAATTATCATCTTAAAATGATGAAAAATAGGAAATAAAATTAAGAAAAAAATTGAGTTAGGCCTAAATTTGAAGATAAAACTAAACGTATACCAGTGCTTAAAGATGAACAGTTTACTGCTTGCTCAGTTTTCACTTTCTCTGATCTAGCTAAAAAAGCAAGCTCAATGCTTTGAAAATGTCTGCATGCTACTACAGCCTCATCTGAAACAGGAATTACCAAAATTTTACAGTACAAAACTGCTTTGCAGTATTTTTAACTGAGCTTTATAACCCTAAGGTGTTTTGGGGAGTTTTGATATGGTTCAAATAGTTGTTTCAATTTTGGATAATTGTGTGACTGAACACTGAAATGAGGTAGTACAGCTGACAGATTCAATTGGCAGCAACCACAGTAACACTTCTCCTCTGTTTGGAATATTAGTAGTTTACATGTTACTGGACCATCTAGCCCATGAGAGCTGGATTGAACTTACTATTGTTCTACATATCTAGGTGGGGTCACTTGTGGCCATGAACTGTTTGGCACTGTGAAGTTAACATTCATTCCCTCTAGTGACATGTTAGGGCAAATCCACATTTCATGGGTAGAAGCAGTGCCTAACAGCACGGACTGTCAGCAATAATGGGGTCCTTCTTGCCCTGTTTTTCTTTAAAGGCAAGCCAATGGTGTGAAGCTGGAATCTACCTCTTGGCTTCTCAAGCTGTGGACAAGTGCCAGTCACAAGAGGGAGCTGAAACTGCACTCATTGAAATCGAGAAGTTCCTGGTAACAGCTAAGGAACACCAGCTCTCTAACCCAAAGGAGTTCTACAATCAGTTTGACATGATCATCACCCCTGAAATAAAGGTAAAACCTCTCAGTTGTGCATCCACTCACTTAGAATTTCAAAATCACCGACCACCTAGTGCATGAGAGTGTACTGGGTTATATATTTGAGCTGCTCAAATATGCCCCTTTCCCT